TACAGTAGACGTAGCCTAGCCATTTTAAGATATTCCCAGACATAGCAGCCTGGTAATTTTACTTCAAAACAGTCTTCACTTTTACCAACTTGTAGCAACAAGAAATAATGCATAAAATCAAAATCTACTGCTCAGTGCTTTTTGGAAAATTCAAAGTAAATCCGCCCTCTGCCTCTCCGCCCCCTGCGCGTTTGGATGCCAGGTTCACTGCGGGTCATCCCCCTCTCCTCCTCTCCACTTCACGGGGAAGGAACCACACTGCTCGGAGATGGAGTACCCCCGACCAAACCTTAGCCCATCGACCCATTGTCCCATCCTGGGCCTCTAATGGAAGTCCCGGGCATCCAGACGTCTCCCCCGCTCCGACACGGGCGTCAAGTAGCGCTCCACTCATCATTGAAAAACAGCATGTCTCGCGCCCCCTTCCCTCTCTCCGCACACCCCTCCCGTTGCCTCGCCTGGACTCGGGCTTTTTGGGAACATTGCGCACGGGGCAGATGTGTCCAGATGAGCACGTTCTAATTTGTGCAGGCCCAGGTTAATGTGCTGTCAGTGTGCACCCCCGAAGGATCAATAGCTTTATTTCCCTAAAACGCCGCCATAGTGAGACCCGAACGGCACGGGGCGCTTTTAATACCGCCGCAGTTCCAAAAGCGCCGTAACTTGGGCCTGTATCGATCCGTGCCATGCGTGGAACTACGTGCCGTCTTCTGGGGAAGGATCTATTTGTGTCACCCTGGGCCGCGGATGGGGACGAGGGGGGCTTCACTAGAGGAGGAGAGTGCTAAGCCAATGGAGGATGCCAAAAACATCAAAACAGCCATGTTTACAGATTACCCAAAGGGAAAGCAAATTACAGCAATTATGCAGGCTGAGGGAATACTGATATCAGCGCCTTACCTGCGTGTCAGACCCAGCCAATAGACTTTTTAACGAGGCAGGCGACATATAAAACAGCACACTTTGTTTGATTGGATGGCCTCAACTAACGACAGGATTGTAACAAAGCACAGGGTTGTCAGATGCTTGCAGAACAATGCAGGCTTAGCAAATTCCAGATAAAGTTACATCAATGTTTGTTTCCCTCACATGGAATTGTGACCTCTGCATTTGATCCAACAGATAATGGTGACCTCTGGGAAAGATGGCTTAGCAGCAGGTGTTAAGGGTTGGTGTGGGAAGTGGAAAAATGGAAAATAGTCCAGGTATTGGGAGAAATTTCAAATCAAAAGTGTCCCTTCAAAAATCAAACCATCATGTGTACCTTCTGCCACTCAGTCAACAGAATAGTAATAAAATAAACAGACTTATTGAGCCTATACTACTGCAGCTAGTACTGAGAAGAACAATGTGAAAGTAATAATAATTTACAAAGTCTGCCCTCCCAAACCCCCATCAAACATCACTACTATACCATAAACAGCTGTTAAAACAAGCATTTGTAACATCACTACTACTACTACTACTGCTACTGCTAGTACTGCTACTACTACTACCACTACTGCTATTCTACTTGTCATGCTACAGTTACAGTATACACACAACCACAGATACTAATCTTATTAAAATACTTCTTCTAGTACTACAGCCTAACTACTGAATTACCTCAACAACACAGTTTCAAGAGTACTGCCATTGCACTACTGCCATGCCTAAATATACTACTACTGCTATTACTCCCCCCATATTAACTACTTTTTATAACTATTTCTGCTTCCACCAGACCAAAAGGCTATTTCAAGGTTACATTTTAAATACTTTTTTTTTAAACATAGACCTATTAAAAGGATATTTCCAGTCAAACTTTCTCTAACAAGTATGTATTGTATTGCATTGTATTCGGTCCAACAATAGCAATTAATCATCAGTAATCAGACTAATTTACCTTACAAGAAACCCTTTTACCCTTTCCATGTTCATCTCATACATCAAGAGCCCACACCACACAACCTACAGCCAGAGACTTACCCAAATTGCAGCCTTTTGTTTGCAGCCTGTCCTGACATATTCATGACCGGGGCCATAATAGTCAGATTCCTGCTCCGGCCCCCAGGGAGAACCGGCAAAATGGTGTCAGCTCCAATTACTGCGCTGCACATAGAGGTAAATCAAAACTGGTGCCGTGAACCCTGCGCAAGCTGCACCAGACAGCACCCCTGTCAACACAAGGAGAAGAATGGAAAATGCATAAGAATAGACAGCAGTATGGGATGGGATGATGGCTTTCTAAATTGGTAATAAAATTCCACATGCTACTACTGCTACTGGTATTGCTTGCAGTTTCGGTGGTGTATGTATATAGAAGCATTTTACAATTGCAAATAGTACTGCTGCCATTAATAACAATATACTGGTACCGTTTTCAACTTAAGACTAGAGTTTGATGAAGTATCAATAGTGCTCATTAGTTACTATACTTGTACAGTTATAACTACAAAATGTCTCCTTGGGGAAACTGTTCTTTGCATTTGGCAAACATCAGACCTACTCTATTTACAGGGGTGTCTTGGGCCCTATACTGTACACTTTTTTGCATTGGTAGGGAAGTTGAAGTTCAGGTTGAGGCATACTTTATTGTACCTATAGGGAAATTTGCCTGCTGCATTTGACCCATCCTTCAATGCCGCTGGGGCACCTCATCAGGAGGGGGGACTCATCTCCAGATCTCGAGCTAGGCTTGCCTAGGAGGACTATCTTAGCTGGAGGACTGAACATATCGTGCATATTTAGAGTTGACTGGGGAAAACAGAGTGCCAGGAAAAAACTACACAGACACAGGGAGAACATGCAAACCCTGCACAGAGTGACCTGCGAGTCAAACCTGGAAGATTCTGGCTGTAAAGCATGAGTGCTAGCCATGTAGCCACCACACTGCTCACCGTATTTACACTTATGGTTTAGCACTTTTAATTCTACTTCAATGAGCACTTGTGTTTGAAGCTGTAGTATTGTCACAAACAGTTACTTTGATTAAGTCTAATTCCTGAACTACAACTGCAGTACTCACCACTAGTGTTTCTAATATACCACCTTGTACTACCTAATTAATACTAAGGCTACTCTTGGAGACACAATTCTATTTTATTATTACTATTACAATTACTACAGTATATTATACTATGGCTTTAATTAATATCTGACCTACTATACCAGCACTAGCCTATTAGTACCACAAGCATTTCGCTGGTACTGGTAAGTGCCAGCCTTTCTTACCCATTGTAGCCTACATTGTGATTTGGAAAAAGAAAATGATCTTATCTAGAGGAGACAAAAGGGTCGTCAAGTTTCCCTCACATCGATTGGCTGTGCTTTTTGCAATGCGGTGAAACCTTTGTGTTGACGGTGAGTCTTGGGGAGGCCTGGTGCTTTGCTTGTTGGGGGCTATCTCAGCAGTGCATAGCCCCGTTTCACCCTGGAGTGCTGCAGAGCTCCTGCCCAATAAAACAGGCTGCCTCCCCAGGGCCCCTCCCTCAAGCCTCCAGTCAGCGCTTGTTTTTGCACCATTTATTTAGTGTGACACATCTCCAATTAAACTGTGGAGGCTGCTGCATTCCCCCCATAACTACCTCTTATACCTCCCCATAGACTTTCTGTCACACCGCGGCTGTGGATGAGAGAGTGAAAGGCAGAGTTAGTGCCCATTGAGAGGGGGAGAGAGAGGGATCGCATAGTGCCTGCCAGCTATGATCACAATGTCATTTTCCCTTCAGTGGAGAGGAGCCTCCTCGGAAAGGTGCCCTGAATTATAATTATCAAAATATTGAACAAGATAATCATCCCCTTAAATGGTGCTGCCACTGCACTGTTTGAGTACACGCCATAAAGCAGTACAAATGGTGGATCAGTGTATGACATGTTATGTTAATTAAAAGTGATGGACAAATACACGTTGTTACTGGGAGGTAATTCCACTTTAGTTTAAAGTTTGGGAATGGCTTTGCTAAGGCCAGACAACTACAAAAACATTAAAGATGCTATTTTATTGCACTTAGCATAGCCTGCAAGCATTAGCCTCAGTGCTTCCCATTAACAGAATATGGAACCCCCCATGGTCTGGACTGTGAACACTGGCGTCACAAAAATCACACTTTGATGCCCACATAAACATTTAAAATTAATTACACTGAGTAAAGAGGACTGCTTAAAGATCAAATATAGGTAAAGAATTACATAAATTATGTATCTTAAGATTAAAATGAAAGTTATTTGTGTCAGTACCATAGTCACCCCGGAATCAACTAAACAGCTTCAGTAACTCGGTTCTCTTGTGCAGTATCTTCAAAGCGAGGTCAGATTATTTTTTTTTAATCATACCATCATTTGTGGGAGCAGTCACCTCGCCTCTGCCCAAAGGCCCATGCAGACAGCCGCAGAAGGAGTGACTTTGTGCGACCCCAGTGGGTCTGTGGGAGCGCAGCTGGTGGGGGAGCACCCAAACGCGGCTGAGCCAAGAGCGGGGCCAGGGCGCCCCCGAGCAGCTGGGAGGGGCGGAGCGGCCAGCTGTGGAGCAGCAGGACAGTACACTGAGGTGAGGAGATCCAAGATGCCACTAAAGAAGAGGAGATACAAACTGTTTTAGACCTCACTAAAACATGGAGTACAGCTGAAATAAGTGTGCAGTAAAAGTACACGTAGTAGGCTTATACCTGAGTCACATCTGCTCCTCTCACAGGCACTCATCACCTGCTCAGGACGATGGAACAGTCTGTGGCCCCAGAACGCCAGCTCTGCTCCGGACACACATCTGCTGTGCCATCTGTGCCCTCCCCTGTGACAGGTAGAGCCTGTGCCTCTGGAGGGGCAGGGGAGCAGCACGTGGAGGTAATTTTGGGTGTAAATGTGCTCTGGACCTCTCCTCATGCATCTGGACAGAGCACAGGCTACAGCAGGGCACTGTCATTAGAAAGAGAGTGAGGGCACGCAGATGAAGATACAACCATCAGACCAAGCTGTCATGCTAATACCATCTTATGTACTATAATAATGCAAGAAAATGTCTATTAAAGATTCTTCCAATTTATTATCATGTACAGTTATACAATGCCAGAACACCAAATGTGACCACTTCAATGGGGTGCAGATGCAAAATATTACAACAGCCATATAAACAGTGTGAGTTCCTCCCCTTCAGCTGTTGTGCATATGGGATCAATAATGAATGCTCCATAAAACAGATATCAAGCCAGTGATATAAAACTGCACAACCGCTGGTACTGTCAAATTAACAAACCCATTGGAGAACATTATTATCACATTTTATGTTACATATTGGACAGTAACAATCTTCATATTAACATACAACGCTATTTGAGTGAAGTAAGATGCATTTGAATTGAAACAGTTTGTCAGCATTAGGACTAACAAAATAAGAAACATCTAGAAGTGTGATCGTCCCCATTCACCACTTTGCAGTCAATGGACAAGAGTGAGGTGCTTGTTCAAATAAAGAGCCTTCTGTAGTGGCAAAATAATTATATATTGTTGGGTGTTATTTCTCATAATTTATCTCATGTAAAAAAAAATGTTACCATGGTTAAATTTTGACTATTCCCACTAACACAAAAACATAGGATTTAACCACACTGCATGCTTTATCCATAGCTAGTATTCAAACTTCATGATTTTTTGTCGGGCCATTCCCTGTATCTCAGTTGTTGTTTTTTTTCTTATCCATTTTTACACAAACTCTTACAGTGTCCATGTCGCCATTGATTAGATCCAAGTCCACAGTTGTACAAGGGAACAAAAAACATTAAAAAAATGAAACAAAATGTGCTGGATGGGTCGTCATAAAAAACATTGACACATACACCTTTATGAAATCAACAACACATCTTTAGGACTAGTTCTGTCTTATACAAAGTTAGCTTGATCTAAAAAGCATAAAATATATTTGTACATAATCACATACAACAAGACGTGTGTGTACCATGGCGACGCAGGAAGTTCCTTATACGGTTTGGAGAGGTCTCCCTACTGCTGGCATTATTGCTTCATATTGACGAGGACTGACAATGAATGCACCGCGATAGATGAGTCATTTTCAACATCTTACACGATATCCAGAATTTTAGTTAAGCCCATTTCACAATCAATGCAATGCTCAAGAATAAGGCAGTTCCATTTGTAAGGCATTGCTGCTTCTTTGAGACAGATGGGACTTGACAATACATGATCAGGTGAATTTTTATAGGCATGAGTCCCATATGGAGGGGGCAATGTGTAACGGTTGAAATCAGTCTTGTCAGTAAACCAGGGTTAAAAAGGTTGCTGTAACAATCTTTCATTGCTGGTAGTTTCCATACTGGCCCTGCGAAGAGAAATGCAAAAAATTCTCAGTCAAAAGAGGAAAGCGGCTTTGAAAACAAAATAATGCTTAACAACTGCGATTTTAGGTGATGACCAGCAGGTGGCAGCATGACATCACAACTGAGCCGAACATGTTCCAGTAACCCTTATAGCATTCCTCACTGGATAGGTATTTTCATGTCAAATTCAATGTTGTTTTTTGTTTTGTTTGCCAAGCATGCTAATTTGGGGGCTTGATGTCACACATTCTACCCCTGATTGAAACAAATTATTCAAAAAACAATAAGAAATGAAAGGAGCAGATAAAGGAAAAGTGAGAAATGTGTATCATATCATAAGCAGCTTAAGGCCGCAGGACAAAACAAAAAAGTCTAGGGTCTTCACAGCAACCATTACCTTTGCTTCTTAACAGAGCTACTCAGGGGGTTCAAATCTCTGGTCTTTATTTCCTCATGTGCCCCTGAATGTTCAAAGATAAAGACATCAAAGTGCAGTGGTGGTCCCACACGAGACCACAGCAGTACAGGGCACACACATACACCCCCATTTAGTCACAATCACCTTTAGTTTTAAGTTTACCCAAGTATTTATCACAGTATTTTGATTAGCATTATGCACAGTGTAAATTAACAGTGCCATTTCTAAGCTAAAGTGTTTTATTTGTGGCTAACATACTCACCTGGTCGTAGCCGTATGGGCGTTGCTGTTGTCCCTGTGGGGGGCCAGGCTGAGGGGGCCGGTAGCCCCCATACTGCTGCCCCTGCCCTTGAGGATAGTTCGGATACTGGCCTGGACCGCTTTGGGAGGGACCTAAGAAAACAGAAAAGCACATTTTCAGAATGTAATCTATGACCGTCATACAACAGAAACGTGAAGCATTTTCTTATTGGGGTCAGATTTTTAAACAGGATGTAATGTGGGTGGGAAAGAAAAAAAAAAACTTTAAAAAAAAAACAAAAAAAAACAGAAAAACACAATGCACAGTTTGAACCACAAACGCTCAAGCTTCATTGCGGTTACTTGGCGCTAACCAAAATTCTACATGCATTTTATTTAATATAATCAATCTGTTTCCGTAGACCCGGAGATGGTTTAAGACTTTACACACAAACATTGTGCTGCACATAGTTACATCTGATTCCATCTCCAACTATACCAACTTTGGATAAAATTCATTGTTATCGCCCTGTGTGTCAACCATTGGATGGTGCCACTGTCAAACACATTTATTAGACTTAAATCTAAGAAAATGAGCATGTCAAATAGGAGCTTGGTCTTCCCTAACGCAACAAGACATCAATAATGTTCATTAAAACCAGCCAAACAAAAATCACTTCATCTGCCCATATTCAGAACAACAGTGCTCCTGTGAGGTGGAGAGGAGTGGGCAGAGGAGTGGGTCTGGAGTCAGATGTGGCCCACGCAGCATCGTTAGGCTGTGCTAATGCCTTCTGCTGTTGAGCGTAACCTTGTGGGGGCCGCGGAGAAAAGCGCCGGTGCCAGATGGAGCTCACCTCACAGCCTCTGCCTCTGCACGCGCTCATTACCAACTGAACACCAGCCCTGGCCAACGCACGGCCTGACGGATGGAAGGCTCCGCTGAAAAATGTGATGAGGAGGAAATAGACACAAGACGGCAAGAGACGCCAATACTGCATGTCGAACTTTGAGAGTGCTATGGAGGTAGGAAGGATAGAATGGGCACGCTTAAAGCCAGGGTGTGTACTGTGCCCAGTTTTTTCACGTAAATGAGTCAAATTCATTTTGCCCCAGTATATATATATATTGTAAAAGCAGCTCTAGGGGTCTTAATAAGACTGCTGTGTGCCATCTGCAGTATAAATTGCTTTTATCATCTGCTCTCTTTGCTAGTTGATGTTAACATTACACTTACGCGCTTATGAACTATAAATCAAAATATTAAAATGAACATTTTCTCTTTCGCATTTTTAAGACAAGAAAAATCAAGTACAGCACCTTTAATTGTGAAATTCATTAATAGTACTGACATTCTGACACTTAATTCCCCTCATCAAAGTTGCATTTGATCCATACTGCAATATTGCTTTTGTGATGAGGAGACATTTTAAGCTGAAATGGAAAAACAGAAGCATCTAGGCATTCAGCAGTAAGAACAAACAAGCTAAGAAACAAAACTGCATACCAGTGCACTGGCTTAAATTTAGCTATCTTAAATAAGTAGCTATCTGATGAAAGATGTGTTCAAATACTCCTGGATGTGGCACTTTAGTTGCAGCGACAGTGATTTGATTATTTATGCTGCAAATATATTAGTAATGTTTTGCAGTTTTCATTTCGCCAACACCTACTTACGTAAATGTATCATGCAAATTGTCCTAAGGGTTTCTTGGATGTTCAGAACCAATTTTAACAGAATCCTGTAAAACGAGAGGCTTAGAATACACATACTAATGATGAAACTTTGCTCCAAGGGAAAACTTAAAAAGAAATCAATTGTGCTTGAAGTTGGGCTTTGGAGTTGTGCAAGGTCCCTGAGTTTTAAAAGGGAATTTCAGAGTAAAGACATGGCACAAGAACAATTAACTTAACAATTAATGTTAGTAGCTTATTCGGATGCATTTTGTACTACTAAATTAGAATTGCTTAATCAAAATATGTTGAAAGAAGTTTGGAATTCCCAAATGGTATAAATTGTACTAACAATCCAAATTATTTTTTAATGCAATTAACTAGCTAGTAAAAGTAGCTGGTTAAAATGCTAGTATCGCTAGTAACATTTAGTCATTTGTATTCAAACAAGAGTTTTAGTTGGTGTTTCAAAATTGTTCAAATAAAAAATACCTCAATAATTTTGGCTGTCTTTTCGCCATGCTTGTGCCCTTAAGCAATCACTGTTTTGCACTTTCTAACAACTGTGTGTCAAGTCAAACTAAAGCTTGGGGAAAAATGCTAATATGGTGGTTGAAAAGGCTTGTAATTACTCGTCTAGCAAACGCCAATCCTCCAACTGCTCATTAAAGCTTCTATATTCTGCATCATTCTGCTACTAGAATAACTACCATTTGACATAAAATACAAGTAGGGCTGCTTGATTATCACAATTATAGTCATGTTTACATCTAAATCACTGAAATTTCAAACAATTATCCAGACTATAATGTCACAATTACCCTGTAGATTTTGAGTAGCAGAACAAGCACACATATTATTCTGAACTAAAGGTAATTCATGGTATTTTAGCGAACAACACTGAACACAGTAACAATTGAATTTTGACTAATTGCACAGCCCTATACATTTATAACGGAAAACATAAAAGGAAATGCAGTACTGACTTTTAAATATTGAAAAAGCTCATTGTGGTCAGCAGAGGGAACAAAGCTTCCACCTGCTTGTTAACTGAGAAATGAAGCAGTTTAAAAGGCAGCTAACCCGCATTCACAGATGTTGATGGCAAGTATTATAAAAGTGAACAGAGCAACAACACGTAACAAATGAAAAGCACATTTGTGAGGTATTTTTTCTATTTACACATCTGGACAGTCTTACTCCTTTCCAAGCCTGTATTATGGACTTTACCGTAGCCTTGTTGTTGCGGTGGGTAGCCCTGTTGACCCGGATACTGCTGTTGAGGGGGGTATCCCTGCTGCTGTGGGGGGCCTTGCTGGTATGCCTCCTGCTGCTGGCCGTACTGCGCGTTACCTTCACCAAGCAACACGAAACCATGTCAGATTGTATTGATAACTAAAATACAGCCAACTATTTAACTACCACACAAGCACACACAGATTAATACATCAAGTTTTGTTAGTCCAAGATTGTTTTTTGTTGTCTTTTTTTTTAGATTCAAGGGAGCTGACTAGTAAGAGATGTTAGTATGTAATCAGAAACACATTAGTACTAGCTATAAGATACTAATGCTTCCTATTCAACGATGATTGATTGCATTCATCTCTACATGAACATAGCATGAGAATTAGTAAAGATAAAGATGAAGAAAAAAGCGGAAAAGCAACTCAAGTGCTAATGAATTTCTATTTTAGTGTAAGAGAAAGTATTTATTCTTAAATTTCAAAGCAAACATACTGTATCTTTGCTAAAATTACTCTTTTACCAAAACCCAGGAATATAAGTTCAGATCAATTAGTAAACTGTAAGTGTAGCCTTCTTGTTTACTAAGCACGAATGCCCTTGACTTCTCCTTCACACCAACAGGTGGAGCTCCTGGCACAACTGGGAACTGCCATGACACTGCTAAGAGGTGTTGTTGTGTCTGTGAATCCTAGTTACAAGGATTCAGTAGTCTTCTGGATAGACTTATTTGTCATCTCCTTGGATTGTTGTTGTTTTTTTTTCCATTTTGGTACTCCTACCTTCTGATGCTCCCTGTCCTGCATGACTGTACTGGTCCCCATAGTAGTCTTCCTGCCCCGGATACTGCTGAGGGGGTCCTATACACACACAACATACACACAAGTAGACCCAAGGTGATGTGGGTGGTGTAAGGTTGGAGGGTAGGGGGATGATTTCTGCTCATTTTCTCTCAGTGTCTTCAGATTTCTAATCAATTTCTGATTCCATAAATATGTGATGATGTCCCTCTCTCACCAGTATATCTGTCTCGATTTTCCAGTAGTAGAAATGGTGAATCACCTGCATCAGTTAATGTGCAGGCAAGCAACAGGCACCTGCCCCTACATTTTTCTAAAACTACATTATTCTGTGATGACATCTGAAACCCCGGAACTTCAACTAAATCAGAAAGTCAAGGAAACAGGGGAATAAAATAGAAAGATTGAAAGGAAATGTTAAAAATGTGTTGGATTAGAAAGAAAACATTCATTCTTAGTAGCGCTCGTGCTGATTGGACTCCACGGGGTATACCTTGCTGTGGGGGTCTGTAAGGGGGCATTGGTCTCTGGCTCATGACATGATTGCCCTGGTTGACCTGCCCCATCATGCCCATGGGGTTCTGTTGCCCTTGGTAATGTTGCCCTCCGCCACCAGGGGGCATGTTGTACTGCTGTGAAGGAGGCTGCTGGTGCATCATAGGACCTGAGGAAAAAACAATGTCAAGAAAAAACTTGTAATGAGTTGTATATCAAAATTGTTGGGTAAATACTTCTACACTTATATACCCTGATATTCTGTCTTTCATACCTTAGTTGATTTTATATTACACATAAGTGGAAAATTAGTTCTCTCTGTCTAAAAACGCTTAGTTTCTGTGTGCCTTTTTCCACAGTGGAATAGTATGTTAAGATGGGTCATTGAAAGCAGAGGCTAGTTTCTTCCTCCAAAATCTGAACTATGCTCCACACCACAAGCTTTTACTTAAAGACTGGCTGTAGCCTTCTCACTTAAAAAAAAAAAAAAAAAAAAAAAAAAAAAAAAAAAGAGCACATCATTGCGCATCATTAATAATTTAAACTGACAGCAACTCAATCTCAATTAAGATTTGGTTAACTGCCCACCCCTACATCTATGAACAGAAATCATTAGATGCCTGTGTCTTATTTACCTTGGTTTGGCTGCATGTTCATGTTGGGTCGTGGGCCATAGTTGCCCATGGTCTGTCCCTGGGTCATGTTCATCTGGCTCTGTGCAGGTATGCCCTGTGAGGAGGGCACTGTGTGGTTGTATCCGCCCATAGAGCCATGGCTGCTGGGGGGCATGTTCATGGAGCCACTCGGCATGTTGGGAGGCTGGTTAGGCCCAGGACCGGGGCCTTGCATGGGCATGTGATTTGGGCCTGTGAAACAACACAAGAGTTTTGTTAGCTGTTAGTTGATAAGGACGGTATTAAATACAAAAAAAAGATGGTTAGAAAGACCGTTAGAAATACACTACAGCAGAAATTCACAATCGATTCAATAAGTATCACCTAAGAAAATATTTTGCCTTCCAAGTACCACCAGCTCTAACAAGACTGTACAAGGCATAAAAGTAGACTACACCATCACTATAGATAATACAGAACCATTGTTTATTAAGAGTTGTGTTAATAAGTGTATATCTCTACCGTAGGGATAATAATAGGGTTGAACAATGTTGGGAATTATATAATATTGTATTTTTTAAAGCTGTGCATTTTTGTCAGATGAAGAACACTGATGCTATAGTGTTTGAGTATTGAGTATTGGGTGTGTTCTGATATCGTGACGTAAATATTTTTGTGATAGCCCTAGTTAATAATGTTCCATTATATTGTGCACAGGTCTAATCAACTGTAGCTGTACTCTTCTCTTAACAGACATGGACATATTATAATTATACCAAACAGAACAAGACAGAAGTACTTTTTAAAAAGAATGAGCAATAAAGCTTCTCTTATTGATACACATATATTTATTATAAGCGGTTTGGACCTTATGTAAAGAAAAAGCAAGGAAAGATACACATTTAACTATATAAATGTCCAGGACCACCAGAGCTAGAAAAGGTGACATCATCCTTCCAGAGACCGACCTCCCTCACAGTTCTGTGGTGTTGCTAGGCAACCCCAGTCAGAGTGAAGGAGAAAAGGGGATGAGGAAAAAGAGACGCACATGGGGGACACTCACCAGGCATCTGTCCATTCATCTGGTTCTGCATGTGTGGGGCAGGAGGGCCGCCACTTACCATCCCCTCAGACGGCATGTTGTGACCATGAGGTGGCTGAGGAGGGGGGCCGCTCTGGTTCATCCCACCGGGGCCCATTGGCATATTTTGAGTGGGTGGCTGCAAGCATACAAAGAAGACACAATGTCAGCGGTAATGACAATCTGATTGAGACAATTTCAATCCATTTAATTAGGTTAAATACATTCCCATACAGAACCTTTGTGGTACAAGGTCCTTCTAGCCTAGATTCATTCACAGAAATTAATGATGTTATTAATTAGCCGGCAGCTTTAATTTACTCATTAACTTGTCCCTTAATATGATTTAATTTAATTTTACGTTTATGACAAAGCATTATTACACTTGTTGTGATCATCAACACAATAGTTCATTAGTCCATACTCACAGCTGGGAGTAAAGACTGCATGTTCTGATTTGAGTCTGCTATCGTGGCCAGGTACACAAGATTTCTGTGCAACATCTGCTGGTACCTAGAAAGTAGGGCAACAATAAACAGATGAGTCTGGTTACTTTTGTGTATGATCAATCAATGTGCACTCAAGTTAGTCCCCTTTACTTACTGTGAACATTCTGCTGTCTTGCCTTTGCTTTGAAAGTCCATTATACACTGTATGAGCTGGTTGTTTTCATCAAGCAACTGGAAGATCGGATACAGAGGTTACATTATTGTCCTACAATGACTTTACTTAATTCATTTACAATTTACCAGTGATTGGGTTGTACTGAACAATGCATTTCACGGGACAACAGAAAATGTGTGATTGTGCCTTTCTGGGAAACAAAAGAGGGTCTCGCCAGCTAACATTGTTCAGCTAACTAAACCGCGGGGCCTTCATTCATTTGTTTATAGAATCGGTTTGAAACGTAGTAAGCATAGAGATCAGGCTAACACATGGCGCCCTGACTCCGCACAGGTTCATATTGAGCGCGCTTTGACACCGCGGCTCTGTTCCCGATGTATTCACAGTAAAGACTTTGGATGCGCTCTGCTACGTTCACTAGCTCCGCGGCTAACAGCACCAGCCTCCATTCTGCGACAGGCTAAAGAGATGAATTACCTTTTGTATCCCAGCGGGTGTTATGTCACCCTTTCCACGCTGCCTGTGAGGTGCGAACGCCACCGACATGGTAACACGGTGTAAATGAAACGTGGGCTAGATCATAAAAGTCAGAGTAAGCCAACACACTTCACACAAATCCGTACAACTCCGATCAAACAGTTCAGAGAAGGAGGATGCAATTTTGTAATGTAGTGGTCCATTACAGGGGTGTAAATCTCGACGTTTAGTTTATCCTCATTTGTACTTTGCATCTGTGCACACATATACATTTTTATTTTTAATATAAAATTACATGTTTGTAATAAAATACTCCTGTGAACATATTTAGAGGACTAAAGTACATCTTCTTATGATTCAATAAATATGGTTCTACCTATCTTTGTGACATGGTACAGTCCACATTCAGCCCGCAAGGCCACGGGAACTAGACTACTCAAACAAAAGAGACAGGTCAAAATGATTATAATATAAATATTTTAATGTATTTATTTAGCAGTCATAAAATGAATTATCTATATTAAAACTATATGTTGTTCCATTTGTTTCAAATGCATATTGATGAAATACTACAAGCGCGAGAAAATGGTCGACATATATATTAGTTTCTTCTTTTCACAGATGAAAGGTTAGAACTGAATCAGTCTAATTTCTCATATAATTCATGTAAAAGTGTGTTTTTGAGCTTTTTGTTTATGTGCGGTTGGTTTGTCCCGGGGTCAGAGTTCACGCGCAGACTCAGTAGCTCTTCGCTTACAGCAGCGAAGCGGTCCGTGCTATCCATCCAGCTGAATCATTTAGTTCAACTCCTACTTTTTATTGTCATTGTACGTCTGCTATATTGCAATGGCGGCGAGATATGATAGAGCTATTACTGTCTTCTCTCCCGATGGCCATCTTTTCCAAGTGGAATATGCGCAAGAAGCTGTAAAGAAAGGCTCCACTGCCGTAAGTTAGAGATATTTTAGCACTGATGCTAAAGCTAACTATTCAAGCTAACGGGCTAACATGCTTTCTTTCATTAATCTCTAGTCCAACTATTATATTGTAAAACACGGAAAGGCAAAGTTAATTTTAAGATTATGTAGTTACTGCATACTGGTATTTACATCTATTACAAACTGCTAAAAGCACATTCGGTCTTGTCGCTGTGTCACTCTTGTCTTAGTTTCAGTTTCGATAAACTGAAACTAAGACTCCAGTGGGGCATTTGAGAATACTTGAATGTTTTTGGCTTTAAATTAAACAATATGGATTTATTATTTGTACTTGAGGACTAATTGCATGAGTGTGTTTAAATCTAATCTTTAAACGGTTACTGCCGTCTTCAAAAATACTCTTGTTCAATTACACCTGTTACCCACCCCTGGATATTTCAGTTTATGTCATTGCATGTATATTGTTACTTGAATTGCTATTGTTATCAAACTTCTCAAACCATGTCAATCTTCTTTTAGGTGGGAATCCGAGGTAAAGACATTGTTGTTCTTGGAGTGGAGAAGAAATCTGTAGCAAAGTTGCAGGAGGAAAGGACTGTCCGGAAGATCTGTGCACTTGATGAGCACGTCTGCATGGCATTTGCAGGTACATATATTAGGATATGTTCCTTTACAGCAGGCAAAGTTAATATAATGTTCTCAAACATATTTTGTTATTGTATGTTGTATATTAAATGTATATTAAAAATTTCCGTGTGCCTCTTTTAGGTTTAACAGCAGATGCTCGTATCGTGATAAACAGAGCCCGTGTTGAATGCCAAAGCCACAGGTTAACTGTCGAGGACCCTGTTACTGTTGAATACATCACACGCTACATTGCTACACTGAAACAGGTATGAAGGCTTTTTTTTTTTTGTTCATTATGTTATTGCTCTGGTTAATGTTTTTATTTTTTTGCTAGCGCTACACTCAAAGTAACGGGCGCAGACCATTTGGAATTTCAGCTTTAATTGTTGGCTTCGACTATGATGGGACCCCCAGGTTGTATCAAACTGATCCCTCAGGAACATACCATGCATGGAAGGTTGGGGAGATTAATTTTTGCTTAATACTTTGCTCATAGTCAAAACCTCAAAATTCTGACCTAAATGTTTTACAACCATTAGGCAAATGCTATCGGCAGAAGCGCTAAAACTGTCAGGGAGTTTCTGGAGAAGAACTACACAGATGAGGCTATTGCGGGAGACAATGAAACGATCAAGTTGGCCATTAAAGCCTTGCTCGAGGTAAAATTGTTCAGTCTTTGCATACTTTTTAACATTCACTGGAATGAAGTTTGTACTTTTCACTCTTTAAAATGTCATTGAGATACATTTTGAAATTCATTGCAGTGAAACTGTAACGCTCCTCCTAAATAATGACCATTATGTCCATATGTATAGGTGGTGCAGTCAGGTGGCAAAAACATTGAGCTCGCAGTTATCAGACGGAATCAGCCTCTCAAGGTATTGGGTGCTTTATGTGTGTTTTATTTACCTTGTTCATATTCAATCTACCTGAGTTGGATTTAAATGCAATTTCATGATGTCATGCAGATTTTGGAATCCAAAGAAATTGAGACCCTGGTAGCTGAAATTGAGAAAGAAAAGGAGGAAGAAGCAGAGAAGAAAAAGCAGAAAAAGTCCTCTTGAAGCCATTATCTGGTCCTTCTTATTGCACTTAGACTACAAATTATTCTTTAGGTTGCAGTTGGCATGAACGGGTTGATCATATTTGTTTCATACTTGAGTTACAACAATATTGTCACTTTCAGATCCAGCTCAAGTTATGATTTCTAACTTTTACTCCAGTTGTACGTTTTTGTATATTCTCAAGATGGTCCATTGATGCATTTGTCAAATGTTTGAAACAGTTTATACACATTCAGGATCATAAGCAAATAAATAATAAAATTTGTTTGTTTGTAAGTAGTTTTTATTACCTTTTTTGTAAACTGAAGAAGGTGTGCTTTATAAAAAAAACATCAATGCTACTTTAAAATGCAATGTGTATTTAATGAAGCTCGGCAGTGGATGTCAGCAGGGGGCAGTGCTGTTTCCTCTGTTCACCCACTTTGGTGTTTTAAAAAAAAAATACTTGAGCCACTGATTGTGCCTGTCCAATGCCCAAATAAAGACTTGTGCACGAAGGTGGTTATCCTGTGTTCTGCCAAATGTATCCACTACAGACTGTGCTGTGCTACAGTGTGCAAGATGGCATAAAGTCTTTATTATGACTATTCTCCCATGAATTTTATTTGAAAAACAAAAAAGCACGTTTGTATAATACAAAACTCACTACATAAAATGATGAGCTTGTCTTTAATGCTCACAAACTTTATGTCAGGAAAGCATATTGCTTCATAAAGCACTCACCTCTCCTGCTCATTTAAAACAAATTAGTGATGAGTGAACACAGTGTCTAATGGTGGCCCGACGAGACCCCCTTTCGCCGCTTTCCTTTTTTATTTCACCCTAAATTCGCTTATCAAGCAACCGCTGCTCTGAATTCTCAACGACACAATTATGGCCGGCGGTGTGGTGGGGCTGCTGCTTAATGGGATCCTGGCCTCAGACCCCAGTGGGAACTTTCAGTGACTTTAATCTGGGAGCCCTTTGAAAAGTTGTGCCGTGCTGTGCTGAAGAGCCCCGGGGGTTCCCTCTGACTCTCACCAAAGACATAATGGTGAATGGTAAAGTCCTTCATTTAGAGTCATCTCCCCGAGCCAGGATTTCCTTTCCTGAGTGGGTGCCCTGGCTGTCTTGACGAGAGCAATTGCACTTTCTCTGCAATTTGTCTTGTTTGGAGAGACTTAACAGAGGTGTGTGGTGTGGCAGATGTCAGGGTGCAATTAGGCAATAATGTCAAAAACTGCAGAAATATTTTGTACCTCATTCATATGAATAGTACTTTACCTCCTCCTAAGCATATGTATGTATTTTCAGAATAATTTACAATAAAGCTAACAATATTTTTACAATACCTTGAGAATGCCCAATATCATCTGTCCTCAAAGGTCAGCAGGGTTGCGCCTGTTAGTACTGGATGGGAGACCACTGGGCATACAAGGTGCCGTAGTGAGGTTACAGTGACTCGAGTGCATACTGTTGTGTTCTTGAGCAAGACACTTAACCCACCGTACCTTCCATGTTGAAGTATATATGTAAAAGCTAAGCAAGTGGGTTCAAGTGGGAATATCAGGTTTCATAGTGGGGTGGCAGTAGCTCTACACTGTTGTGTCCTTGGGTAAAACACTTCCCAGCCCAGCTTTTCTCAATTGTCGAAGTACACTGGTGTATAAAGAGAGGAGTTTGTAAGAGCAAAAGCGGGACAACAGATGGAAATTAGAGCGGCTACAATCTGGTGTTTTTACAGCACATATATCATGTTTGTTCATTACTGTCCACACCAAACAAATAATGATAATTTAAGTAGTTCTCAAGTGGGGAATCTGTTCTTTTCTTGGCATGCGTAGTAAGAAAATAAGAAAAAAATCAATGCTAAATTTTTGTACTTGTCTCAATCAGTATTCATAAATTGAAATTATTGCTATGTCTGTCATGAGAGTTGCCTTAAAAACAACCAACTAACTCAACAACTACCAAAAAAACTAGGTATGTGTACTTGGGCTTATCCTCCAGCAACAAAGATGGCCAGATCCATCTTCTTGTAGCTCAATACGGCTTATTCTATGCTGCTGTCAAGGCTCCCTCCCAGTCTTTTTTAAACTGCTCATGGAAGACTTTACTTTCTGTCTTCATCCTTAGTTTTATTTATATATTTGCCACAGCGCTCCAGGCCAAAGTCCATCTCTCTCATCACTGGCTTCAGCTCTTCATTAATGCAGAAAATAATGGCTTCACCAGAGGTCATCGGCAGCCCCGGGATTGGAATAGTGTGCAGTGCTCCGGGCTGTCCACTCTGTTTGTATGCACAGGCCGAGAGCTCCCAGGCCGAAAACACAAACAGCCCGTGGATTGGACTCCGTATTATGTGAGCACACAACAGACTCTTTTCAAAGCCCTATGTTGGTACATTCTGTCACGTTTGGTATCTGGAACGTGAATACAGGCATGTACAGAGTATTGGAGGAACAGTTGTTGTATATTGGGGGAATGGTTATTGTAGAGAAAATGGTTAGCAGTTGAAATGTATTTACCTTAAGTATACGCAATGCTGGTCATCCAAGAGATAAGCAATTGAGGTCAGTTTTGTTGACCAGAAAGTACCATAACATAAAATTAATAGATCAAATTAATACATTTACTGTTTTAAAGGTGCACTGTGCAACTTTTCTGGTTGAGATTATACTACTGCATGTTGTTACTGTTCCTGGGTTAGGGCTGCCAGGAATGTTCCAGACTGTAGCATTAATTTATTGCACAAAAATACACACAAGTATACACGCAAATAGTGGACATTTCGCACGAAAAGTTACACAATGCACCTTTAACTATAGAAATAAAGTGCATCTGAAGTTTGAGGCTATAAACATACATTGCAAAATATCAAAATATCAGTCAGAATATTTATTTATTTATTCATTCATTCATTCATTTAGTGTGTTTTTTTGTTCCAGAGCTTTTTTTTGTTTGTTTGTTTAGAGGAATCAACTCTCCCCTAAACTATTGTGTCGTTCTGTTTGTAGCAGTGGATTAATGCCCTGGCGGAGGTCTACAGATGCTAGGTTTTATTCTCCCTTTTTGAAAATGCACATTCCATTTGCAAATGACTGCAGCCTATCTTTCACATTATTCACATTATTCGGTTTGATAGAGTTCTACTTCCAAGCTATTTTTAAGGCATCTACATTTTTTGTCATTCTAATTCGCCTCCCGCCGGCCTTTTTTTTTTTTTTTTTCCAAATGCAGCCCCCTCTTGAGGTTTTTAAAAATCTGTCAGCTCTGAATGTCCTTAGGTCCAAATAAAGCAACCGCTCCAAGGGTAGACACACAGACACTCCATCCTGGGGGACTTGAGCCTACATTAGTCCACTTCTCTATTATTCTCTGATCATGTTCTCATCTTTCGCCACCAGAGGGCAGTGTTGCATCAAAGCAGCTTTCCCCCCCGCCGCATCATATCGTTTACACTTTCATCTCGCTTTGCATCCTTGCACAGATTGACAGAAAACGCTCCTCTTTAGCTATCAGTAAGCACAATCCGTTGGCATGTTTTTGTCTATACCGCTGTTGTAAAGGTCTTCTGTGAATACTACTTCAATGGGCGGCGCGGTTGTTTCGAAATTGTCAGATGAAAAATTCAACTTTGGTCGTGCCCCAGAGCCACGGCCAAGCTGTCAGAGTGAGTTGGGTCATAAAAGGCTACGCTATCCACACTGTCCTGTTTCAGCTCATCACATGTCTAGAATCCTTGCACCCCCACCCACCTACCCATCCACCACTGTTGGGTGTAGAAGATGGGGCCTGCCTCTCCTCATCAAGGCTCCAAGGGCTTTTGCAAGTGTAAAGTAAAGTTTGGGTTTACTTGGCTTACATATCCATAAGCGATCAAAATATGGTTCCTTTTAATGTTCTCTTTTAACTCGTAGCTTCAGGGAGACATTCTGAATATCATTCTATTATCTTGTATCGCACATCTCATCTCCTCCATCCTTAAATCTCTCCATTCGCGCTTCTTTCACACAGCTTCACTTCAATAATGGGAAGTCTTATTTTTGAACGAAATATATGATCAAATACAACCACTGACGAAGTTGAGTAAACAGTGATCCGAATGGGCTAGACATGGATCCTGGAGAAACGATTCGAAGCAAATGGACAAGTTGAAATTCAAAGAAACAAGACCATATCAAATAGCCAAGGGGTGACCAAAGTAGAGCTGGGAATCACGATATGGCGATACATGCAATAATCGATATTCTGCACATGATATATTGCTGTTTTTTAAAGGACCAAACACATTTTAGCAACATTATTTCTATATTTTTCCTTCCACTAAATAAACAACAAAACTGTAGTCACAAAAAAACATTGCTAAAACATACCAAAAAATACTCTTGGCAATATATCAATACAGCAGTCCACGATAACAATACTGTATCACAAATTTAGTATCACAGTATAGAGATATTTCAGTATTTTTGCACACTCCTAATCAAAAGCTGCAGGGTATTATACTTGAATCATTGTTGTGTTTGTTTTTGTTTGATAAATAGGCCTAACCTAGTCTGAAGTCAAGCTAATTGGAAACAAATCTATGCTGAATATGTTTTTATGATAGCTCTGGCCACTGTCCAAAGTGTACCTCTATTTTAATGTTTATTGTTACTGGACAGGTTCCAACCATTTGTACCCTGGCAGGCAAAAGATGATTGAATGAAAAGTTTGATACTGTAACGGGATAATTGAGTAAAAATTTGCTAGATGTGCAAGATATTGCAAGGAAGGACTAAAGTTTAGGTCATTTCATTGCAGATGGGGATAAGGAAGAGTAAGCTGAGTAACAGGCAAGCAACATAGACTGTAAAGAAGTGGATTACAGGAGCCTAACGTCACCCATAGCTCCAGTCAAATGAAGCTCACAAGGCTAGTAGTTATAGGAGTAAATTTGGAGCCAGTTCCATATTCTGATATATTATTTACAGACAGCAAAATAAAAACAACAGGATCATGTAGAGTGGGTTATTACAAACATTTTAAGACCAAAATGACGAGGCTCACTGCAGCAGTTACGGAGAGAGAGGTGACAATTATCCAATGTAAAGTCAAATGGAGCCAAAGTCAATGGAGCTGAGGCTAGTGGCATTAGCTACATCCATTTATACATAGACTATAAACCGGAATAAGTTACCAGAACTCAAAAATATTGAGGCAATCGATTGCCTCAATTATTTTAAGTTGATGAAGTTGAAGTTGAAGTTAAAAGATTGGATAGCTTGCTACTTGTACCTTTTG